CTAACTTTCTCAAATTCCTTCCAAACCCAAAATTGCTTGCAATAACCAATCATGTACACCTACTATAGTCATTAACCATCATTTCCAACCATCATAGATAGCCACAACATCATGATCACATTAAACCAGAAAATTCATCAATAAATGGAAAACTTCACCAATTCATCTCAAACCAAGAAATAAACCACAAAATCATCACTTTAGCTACCATTAAGCACAACTTAAGCTTCATTAAGTGTAGGAGGAAGTTCAAACACCACTTACCTAGAACACAAGAGAGGGAGAGTTGTAGGACACCTTAGCTTCCTTGAACACTTCCACAAAATCACTTACTAGCACCAAATGGAGGGATTTTATGGAGTAGAAACAAATTTAAGCAATTGGTTTGGATGATTTGCACTAGATGGTAGTTAAAATTTTGAAGAGTTCTCTTCCTTCCTTTGCTCAAGAGTGCCGACCAAGAGGGAGAAGAAAAGAGTGAATTTTGGTGATTTTTTTGAGATATTTCATCACTTGGTAAGACAAGTCAAAAAGTGAATAGTTGTCAACAAAGACAACCAATGGCCATGTGACACTTGTCACTCCATAAATGCAAGTCTATCCTTCTTTTCCCTCTCACATCAATCACTTCACCTCCTCTACTTATCTCTTAATACCCGATAAATTTCAACCAGTATCCGAAACTCAACCTAATTGGCCGAATTTTTCCGAACTTTTCGCACTAGTGGGGCCCACGTCCGTTATATATCCGTAATTTTTCAAACACTATCCAATACTAGAAAAATCATCTAAAAAACTATAATTACTCATAAAATTCACCAGGAAAATTTCCTAAGCCAGAAAATGCAGAAAACATGCCATTAAAGGGGAAAAACCCTAGGAAAATTATTAGGGAAAAATTACGGGTTCTCACAAGGTTTCTGAAATTATCCCTTTATGAGGGTAGAATGGGTTGTGATATGGAGAGAGGGAGTGTAAGTGAGAGATTGTAATGTCCAAAGACAACTTAGGGGGGGGGAGAGATGAATTAGGTTATTCATGATTAGTGTGTTGAAAATTTATGTGAACTAACCCTTTGTTTTTAGTTATAATGGTCATTTCTTCAAATTACTTTCTCATTTATTGAAATATAGTGAATTATTTGACAAAAAAAGAATAAAACCTTGGGTTGTAACAACATCAAATTTTAGTAAAGATAAATTCTAATGATCAGATTATTTATAGGTTTACTAGAGTAGGTATATTTTGTTATATTTTAATTAATTTAGTTCTAGTGTTGTATGAAAAAATTTGGAAGCGATAGCTCAAGTGCTCACCAATGTCTCCTAACAACTTTGTTTGGATCTTTATTTCTAGATTTGGATTTGTTTTTCATATTTGATAAATTATTTTTCATTCTATAGATCTGAGATTAGTTTTCTATAATGAAATGTCGTATTTGATTATTATATCTCACCATTTTATTATTTGCATAATTTTTTTATTGACTTGAAAGATACTACCCCAAAGTAATTTTAGAGTAAGATTACCATAAAAAGAATTAAATTTTCAATGTTTACCAGAAAAATCCTTAAATCTTAAATAATTAAATTCTGTAAAAGGTTTTTAAAAATAAGATCATGTGTAGAGAACATGCAAAGAAAATAAGCAAATGACCAAAATAAAATTGTACTCAGTAGATTTACAAAGCATAAATAGCAGCGCTGCAAGCCTTTATTTTTCTTTGTTTTTAGATATTGAATATAAAAAAAAACGAAAAAATATTCCTAAGAGATGCCATACAGAGTCATACATTAAATTGAAATGTCATTTTTAGAACTTTAAAAGGGCTCCTATACCATATTGTGGAACATAAAATTGCATAGAATTAAGCAACCAAAATATTTAGGAGGGAATAAGATCACAACAAATCAACCATGTCCTAATATTTCCAAACATGAAGAAAAATAACCACAAAATAAATATTATGCAACCTTATATTGAGGTAGACTGTTATATGGAATTTATTTATATATTAGTCAGATTCTACACAATGTCAACATGGGTTTTGATTTTAGAACACTTGTACATATATATATTGTTTTCAGGATATGCTGCATCACATGGATGGTTTATCGTATAATGCAAGAGATTTGGCATTTGATTCAAATCTTTTTTCCTTTTACACTTTGTACAGAACCATAATACGATAAACTTCTTAGCAAACTTGACATGAGATAACAAGTTTCAAAGTATTTCTTCCTCACCAAATGTACCTTCATATATATATATATATATTCAAGCCTGTGCTTAGAAATGAAGTAGTATATAGGCCAATGTTTCTCAATATGGATAGATAACTTGTACCTGGATTTATAACTTAATTTGACAACAAAATAAATAAATAAAAAGAGTAAGAGTGCATTCAAGAACCAACAAATATTAGGGTTCAGTTGACAATGTAAAAGGAAATTAACAAAATCTTTAACTCAAAAACAGTGTTGTTAGACCCAGATCGAATTAGTCGGTCCGATCAATCTAACCATGAATCGGCCTTCTTCCCGACTTGGTAAGTAGCACAAAATCACTTTGGTCAAAAATCGGCCAAACCAGGAACCCCGGTTTGACTACTTGATTTGGTTTTCAAACTTCTCTTTCTTGTTTTTCTCAAATCTAATTTGAGTTACCTAAGTTGTAAAACTTTCATTTATTCATAGGAATAAAAAAATGCCACCCACTTAGTATAAACACCAAAATCACGCACACCCCTGAACGATCTCTAAAGCAAGAAATTTTCATCTCTATATTCTTATTAATTTATCAGCAGTGATTCGAACTTGCATTAGAAAGCCATATTTCCAATAAAAAGATCTTGAATTGGGTATGATTTGTTTTAATTTATTTTTTCAAATATTTTTGGAGGTTGGAGATACATGAATTCACATTTTTATATATAATTTTTAGATGTATATTTGATTGTAAGGCTAATAATTTTAGAATAGTTGGCCAAAATATAATCAAGAACTTAATTTCAATATTTTTGAAACCTATAAAAATATAAAATAATTATGACATCAACGAGTTTTTGAGAACAGTTGGACTGATTTGATCAGTTGACTCTTAACCCAATAGTTTAGCCGAGTCGCTCTCTAGTCTAAGTTTAACAACAATGATAAAAAAGGATCAAGATTATTTTGCATAATATTTAAAGGACTTTTCTAATGCGTGCCCATTGGGTACTCGAAACACATCTAAAATTTACTTACTATGCATATATAGATATACTAATAATTATTACTTTTCCTTACATTTATATACTACTCTATTTAATCTTACCTACCCTTACTTGTATTTATTTACTTTCGTTAATTAATCTTATATTTTCAAAAGTACCTGAAATATATATTAATGATTGGGCACCCATTAGACAGAACCATATTTTAATTTGATCATTCAACTGATTTCTAAATTTATAAACAATGATATAACCCTTGAATGCTATTTAACATAATTGATAACTTATACCCTGAGAGGCATTAATTACCAAATAAAGTGGCAACGGATCCAAATCCTTATTAGTTACAGGGAGTCAAGGAAGATTTCTGGTAATGTATTTGTTGGTGTAGGGCTAAAAGAAGTTATTACATTGAATTTCATGGAAACAAAGAAGAGGAAGTAAGAAATTTTAAACTCAAGCATAGAAGGTTGTTCAAAGATGTCAAAAAAAGATGATGCTATAAAGCCTGGCTTCCTCCTTCTCCTCTTCTTTTTCTCTCAAAGGCATTTCTTTTAAGGAGGGAGACCATTTCCTATGAATTTTTCTTTATTTTGTTTTTCTAATAAAGTCTCTCCTAAATTTTCTTACTGAGAGTTTTGTGTTTCAACACAGGGATTTCTAGTGAGAATTTTCTATTTTCATAAGGGTTCTTATGGAGATTTTTGTATTATTTTTTCTTATTTTGTAGTTAGATCTAAATTTATTTTAAATTTGAGTGTCAAATATCAAATTTTTTTGAATTTTGGTTCTATTTTGCCAAATCTCATCATCGTTATTGGAATTTACAGCTATTGATTAATAGATCTGGTGATTGCAACATGCGAAAACGGGAGCTGCAGCGATTTATTTTTGGAAGATGAGTTTAAAATTTGTTGTATTTTTCAGATTTGCTCATAATTTTTCAGATCTATTGAATCTGTTAAATTACAGATCTGTAATTTCTAAGGCATGTTTGGCCTGCCACTAAAACAGTTATGTAAATCAAATCGTGTTGGACAACTTCTAGCAATCCAATATTGAAATTTGCCTTTTATCCAAAAAAATAAAGCCTGGCTTTTAGAAAAGAAACATGTATACACAGACACACACGCACATGTATATAGAGACACTTTTTGATTTTCCAGACTCATATAATAGTAGTGAACATCAATCAAACAATTATATTTTCTCAAATAGTTGACCAATTCCAAAGAAATTCCTTTAACAAAAGCAAAATCATCAATAGTAAAGAAAATGTTATACACCCCACAATTGACTTCCCTAACTTCTTATCCGTTAATCATATGCCTTTCGCTTTCCGGCCCCACCCGACGAAACAACCAATAATAACATGTGACTGTCTTGTAGTTTTGATGCTTTTGTAATAAGAATCCTGATTTGTTCCAAACAAACTTATTTCATTCTCTAATTTCATAATCTAATTATTCAAGGAGTATATTACTTTATAGAGATCTCAATTTCGTATTATTGCTTATCGATTGGATAACTGAGTAGTACTAAGCTTACCCCTTCTTTTTTAGCACATCAGTACAAGTACCCTACACTTTCAGGTATTATCTCAAAGTGACTTATGCCACATGGAGGTGGCACATGTTATGTTCTTTTTTTGGGAAAAGTAGTAGTGCCTGCCATTTCTTATATCAATGCTTCAAATATGAAAAAGAACTATCTTGCTGGACACAAGCCAAATGTACTTCAAAATCTGTTGAAGATATGTGGAAGAATGAGACTTGTCCTTGCCAACTTAAACAAGAAGTTGCTTGTGCTAATAGTGAACAGAACACATATAGTATAAAGTATAAACTATTCGATGAAACGGAAAAAGAAAAAGAGCCAACTTCCATTGATAACTTAGCCCTCAAACGTGGTATAGATTGGTAAATTCCAAGTTTTAACAATCAAAAAAACACACACACTGATAACCCTCTCTCACTTTAGCTAAGCAAACTCCATTCCCATTCTTGACTTCCCAGCATTGCTGCTTACAGGATGAAAGATTGCACCCATTAACCTCCATTACTTCCATGCATCTTTCCCGAATACCGTGCTTCTCGCCTATAGTGATTTTCCCTGAAAGTACGAACAGAAACAAAGTAGCAAGATTAGATCGCTAATTATCTTGCAACTAAAGAAGTATGTTAAGAATTACATCCTCGAAATTTGTAGGTCATTTTTCCCAACTTCAAGCTTGAAGAAATTCAAGGAAGCTGATTTTCCTGCTTGCAGTGCAAACTATATATTGAGAAAAGAAATGACCTACCTGATGAGACCAAGATGGCAGCTACTGCAAGGAAGCAAAGAAAGTGATAGGGCTTCATCTTCTGCCGTACTGAATTTGCTCCACTGAATTGCATGAGATATATATAGGCACAACCCGCCTCTTGGGATTTGGCTCGGAAGGTCTCGGAGTAGCCTAGTTAGGTCCCGAGTTCGTGTGTTCGAGTCATTTCTCTATCGCTTGTGTATTCTTGGAGGGCGGGGTGCACAGGCGCAGAGAGATTAATCTGACAAAATTAGGATATTTCCCGTATTGAAATATATATATATATATTTATATTAGGCACAACCTACGAAAAAAGGGAGACGAGACAGGGACGGTCATCAGAAGGACCGTCCCTGAACAGTTAACGACCAGGATTTGGCCCAAAAAAATTGTACGATCCAGATCACTTCTTGTACCTCTTTTTTAACAACGTGTGTGAGGTCCAAAAAAATTTATTCTAAAGTTACACGTTCTGCAAAAAAAGTTACGCGGTACGCAAAATACACAAAATCGCTAGAAACAGTTGCACCTGCAACCGTTACTGCCCGTGGTCCCAAAAAAAGGTGGCAGGGATAGGCACCTTTTGCAGCTGTCCACATTGTACTAAAATATTTCATCACATGAAGTGGAACTGGTGGCACAAAAGTATAAAGTTATTGTTAGGTCTTATTTTCTTAGAACTATTAACCATGTGAAAGTTGGAGAATTATGTCAGTTTGTGGAATGGTCCTGGAGATAAATTAAGGGTCCAACTAGTTAAAAAATAGCAAGTAGGAGTTGTTAAAACTTCAAAAGGAGATTAAGGGTCTATTTTGCTAGAGGATTTTCACATTCTCAGTTGCCAAAATTGTCGTCAAATGAAGCACAAACTAAAAAGAATTTTGCTCTAGTATGAAGTTGAGCTCCCACTTAATCATAACTAATAACTCTGAATGCGGACGCCCAACTTGCAGCTTCAAGTTGCCAAATTAGTGGAGTCCTATCAAAGTCTACTTAAAAAAAAGAAAATTAGTTTATGTAGCTTAAATCAAAGTATGAAATATTTTTATGTTCTTATGCAGCACAATCTCAACCATAAATAGTAGTTTTTGGAGTAGAAAAATATAGTCAAGGACCATCTATGAACATAATTGAAACTATTACTAAATAGGAAAGGATTCTTATAAGAGGCAGGTCTTGCTTTGCAAAAGGTCATCAATCTTAAAGTATCCTCAATTCAATAGATGAGTGATAACATAACATTTTGTTGTGAACCAACCCTTTTTTTTTTGTGTTCATCATGTGCCCTTGGGGCAAAGAATAGCAGAAACCAATTATAAGTGCCTTTCTGCAAATTTTCTCTATACGACGTACAACTATCTACTCCAATTGATGGAACTATCGGTGATGTACCATTCGGAGTAATGACTTGCCAATTACAGTTCGCCAGGGCGTTCTCATTAGAAACTTCAGAGTGTGTCTGCGTTTTTGGTAATGGTTTACTACTTGTTTGTTAGTTTGTGAGTCAGTAAGTTATAAATTTGAGTTTGTACAATAAAGAAAGCCAGATTGAAAAGGAAAGGTGAAACGAGGGTCTAATATCATATTTCCCGTTCAAATTAGTCATGACCTAGTGGCAAAACAAATCGCAGAAGCTGATTGCAAGATAATATGATTCTGTAAGCAAATCAGCAATGCAGAAAAAACAGAAGAACAGCAAAAGACAGAGATAAGCAAGAACAGAATGTTCATACTGATGCCAATCAGCTTGATACATAAGAACGAAAATCACCAGCAAACCTTACAACAGAGATTGTACGGCATACAGATTTTAGACGCAAAAGATTACTATACGCAACAAAATAAACTCCCTAAGAGTATCTCAGCCCAAGAACAACAGCCTCTCTTGCACGGCCCCCCACCCATTACCCCAAACCAGACCACCACGGGAGGAAAATGGGGGGAAAAAAAAAAGAGGAGCTCAGCCCAAAAAAACAACAGGCTCCTCCGTCCCAGAAAAAAAGACACTGAACACTCATCCACACTATCATCAATAAACACCAATTTAAGTAAAAACTTCAGAATAGAAAACTAAGCATCGTACAGAAAAAGCTCTGTACCATCATATCCTGTGCATCCTCTGCTCCCCAATGATCCATTGTGTCACCAGACTAGGATCAACGGCCAAAGCATTGCATGAACTGGGGATGATCCCCAGATCAGCACCAATTTGTTCATACTCCTTGAAAGCCGCTTCCATCTCAGCTTCAGCAGCTGTATCATCCATGATTCCCATTGTGCCTCTCTGCAGGATGTCAGCGTAATATTTCTCCTTCTCAAGGTCATCTTGAAATGGTTCCATTGCAGGACCCTGCAAGTTCCACAATCACTTAAGCGATAATGAGGACATATGGGGAGCATACAGAAATGCATATATCCTTTCATAGCCCAAAAAACTACATCAATGCAGCAAAAAACAACTTAATTACAGATACTTTTCTACTTGAATCTTTTACTTGCAGGTGTCTATTCTGTTCAAATATTTTGGAAATGTTTGTGGCAAAATTAAATAAACATTTATGCACTTGCTTATCTTAGGATGGGACAGTTTAATAACATGGGATAGCATGCACGTCACTCTTAAGCCCAAACTCCCATGCTACGTGTCTATGTTCCCCCAGAAACCAATGTTCAAAGCAGTAACCTCTTTGAAAAAATTACTCCAGGGATAACAGGCTGATCTCCCACAAGAGCTCATACTGATGAAAAGGTTTGGCATAGGATGCCAAGCCTGCTTCCCAAAGAATCTAGAAGAAAAGGCTAATTCCTTTGAAGTATTCATTAACAGTTTACAAGCGAACCTATATGACTGTTGTCATGGTTCTCTTACACCCATCAACATCATCTTACATAAAAGACAACTACAAGCACAAAAATAGCCATGTCTTAATCGCTTCTATACTACAGTAAGAACTACATTTTATTTCGGAATATGTAGGTTACTGTAAGAACCACATTTTTGTTTTGGAATATGTAGGCTACTATCGTACTTCAGAAGGTTACTTGACTTAAAATTTAGAACAAAATAAAAAAATATAAAAGAGGGTCGTGCATGTACAGAGCTGCTCAAGCAATGTAGTTGGACACATGAAAAAAATATACAAGTCAAAATACTGTGAGAAGCATGACAAACAGAAAAGTAGGATATCGCAACAATAGATTTATATTTTTGATAAATAATGGTAGTATTTAGGATGTCCCATTAAAGTGCTTTTAGTCAAGGCATGATCAGAGAAAAGAGTAAGGGTGGCAATGGGGAGGGGGTTGTCAAATAACACCCCCCCATCTCTCTCCCCCTGCCCCCGCAGTCCCCTGTAGGAAGAAATCAACCTACCATATTTAACAATCTACTCAGCTACGGGACAATTTTATCATTCATTCTATCTCAAAATATCCAATAAAGACATCCTCAAGTACTCAACCTTGGACCATTCAACGAGTTGAAAATACTAATAACTAAAGAAAATTAACAACTTGTCAATACCATGAAAATGACATTAAAATATCCGACTAAGATGTAATAGGACAAGTCGCAAATATATGTTCACAATTATGTTATTAATTATATTATTAAATATAAAGAATTGGATTATAACTAAATTATTATATTGTGTATATATATGTATTGTATATACATCTATACATTTAAATATATATATATATATATATACGGGGCACGGGATGGGGCAGGTGTATGTTGACCTGCCCCTCGCCCAGTTTTAAGGCAGGGGTGTCCCATCCCCTGCCCCATTTCTACCCCCACGCAGGCACCCACCCCAATTGCCACCCTTAGAAAAGAGAAGTAAAACAAAGAGGGAAATATGGATCTTATGGTGAGAAAGAATCTAAGCATGTGATGTAGCAGCCTCGAGCGAAACCATAAACTGAAATGGCATAGTACATTAAAGAGGACAGAGTATAGTCTATGAAAGGAAATCTGTAAATGACGTGTGTATCAAGGAAAAAAATACTGATATTTCTATATAAAGAATTGTATGCTTCGTGTGTGACTAAAGCTTCTACTTCAGTAATTCTGTACTTCCAGGATAAACCATAGGTCGAACAGCTCTAGGATACATGTTATGATGAGTCCTGGCAAAAGAGAACATTCAAAATACTGTAGTTCACATCAATCATGCAAAAATACTTGTAAGGTAGTACATCTCTCCATTTACAGGAAATCAAGAAGTAGTCCCAAGTTAGGACCACCCAGGATTACGTAGCCTTTGCTCCCTAACTCCAGACAACAAGAAACAGAATCCTGAGGGAGAAATGAAGCCTTTTGTGGTGGATCTTAGCGCACTGGGAGCATAATATCCTATTTTATAAGTGCCTTAGGCAGACAGGATGTGATTTAACAAGTACTCATTAGCGGTACCATAGTGAGGATACAGAGCATGTACTACAAGCAGGGTTTAAGTAGGTTGCCTTCAGTTAATACCAGCTGTCACTATATAGCTATGAGTTGGACACCAGTGCGATCCTAAAACACAAGCAGTTAAAGTGTCAAGGCAGTGAACACCTACACCAAGCTTCTGATGAGACTTGAATTTGTCAATGCCATGACCATCAAGAGGTTTTTCTTAAGCTGGCCTTTTGTAAAAGTAACCTATAAACCGCTACTAAATTAGACATGCATTGTTAGATTATTACAAACATCCCTCACCACCAGGACAGCAGCAACAGACTTAAAAATAAAGACCAATAAAAACTTAAATCCTCTTACACAAGAAAATAAAACTAGTTAAAAGCGCTTGCAAACAATCTGCTTCTCCTGTGTCCAAGAGAACGACATTCCAATCCAGTACTTTTAAGATCTATCAGACTATTTTACAGAAATTTTGACCTGAAGGTGCAAATTTGAATTTATTGAAATATTTATAAAAAATTGAGTAGGAACAAGAGCCTATTTGACCACTCCACCCAATAGACAAAACATGGACCTAGAGATCATAGACAGTCAGCTCTCTTACAATCAATATCTGAGAACTTGATAATTTCTAAATATTGATATGTAACTTCCTTTCATGCCTAAAATTGATTGTTGTAATATACCAGTTTGACAT